GAATTTGAGCAAAGCCTTGAAATTAAAGTTGGATAATTTCTAGTCACAAATGTTTTGATGAGATTTTTTTAATAGTTCTTTGCACAAACACCATCTAGGGAGTAAAAATCTTTCTAGAGGGAGACTGAATTTCTATTTCCTCTTGATGTTTTGTCCTTAATTTAAATGTAGATTTTCTTTTTTCTTTAAGAGACATCAGATCACAGTCACTTGCATATTTTGCATTATTTGCAATGAAGACATCAAGACTAGAAATTTTGTAACTCCTCAAATGTTGGGCCTCAATCCTTATTAGGCATTTAAAAAAAAAAAATCAATCTGAGATTAAAATGACTTCAAATACATTGCCTACATTTGTCACTTGTTTAACAATATTTTTCTTTTTGTCGGAAAGCAGACTTGATATGCTTTTTTATGAAATGAGTGCTGTGAAAATATAGTTATCATCATTGTCTTTCAGGTCTAAAGATGATTTTGTTTTGCAATTCATCAGTGGATCTGGGTTAATTTTCAAAACAGATCTGAACAGGAATTTATAGTGGGGGAAAATTCTTACCCTGGTGTAATTCCACTCTCTCTGCCTGAGGAGTCTTTTTATCCAGTGACATGAAGAATTGTTGCAGTAGATGACCAAGAATTTTACATGTCAAATCCATGCTCTGATGAACTCTTTGGTACTTGTTGACACTACCTTCATGGCCGTTAGATCTGTAGATCTCATATGCCCACTCCACTCAGAATCAGTCTTCACATGCAATAGTGCTGATAGGCCCCCAAATTAACAATGGTTTGGACCTCTTGGCTATCCTCATCTGGTTTGCCCACCAGTTAAAGTGGTTTACCAGGGTTCGGCTGCTGCTTGCATGCAAACAGCTACTTGGAATCACAGGTGATAGTGATGGGAGGTGGGTGCAACATAGACAAATTGCTCCCAAAGTAATATGGCTCTTCTACTGTTGGGGGTGCTATCTCTCCCCAACACTATTCAAACTTTTTTTTTTTACATGAAACATTGGGGGCAAACAGATTATCAAATACAAGCTCTCAAAAGGGTTGGGTCTGTTGCTATAGTGACAGAACTAAAGTATGCAGAGTGAAGCCACTTAGCATAGATTGAATTTGAACTCTGTTGTGTATGTACACTAATTTATAATGTTCTGATTCACTTCTGTTGTTTGTAACAGTGATTGGAAGGAAAGTGTGTAGAGTGATTTTCTCACTGCACCACAGAAAATGTTTTGGAAATGGTCATAAAAGGTGATGGATCATGCATTTATACCTATGACCCCAAATTCAAGGCTGTCTTCGCAGTGAGAGATCCATCCAAGCCCCACCCACCCACAAAATCTCTCCAAAACAGAAGGAAGAACAAATGAGCCACAGCAATGTAAAGACACTTTTGACAGTTTTCATGCATTGTTCATCATGAGTATGCTCCAACTGGTTAGACAGTAAACAAAGAGTACTATCATGATGCATTGTGAAATTATGTTCATCAGAAAAGGACAGGATTGCAGGTGTCTGGTGAGTGGCAATTCCACCATGACAGCACACCTGCCAATTCAGCACAGCTTGTGCATCAGTTTTTGGCGAAGGATAACATTTCCAATATCTGACAATTACCATATTCCCTACATCTTGCTCTTTCCAAAAATCAAATCCCACTTGAAATGGAAAAGATTTCAAGATGTTGACAATGTAACAAGACTACCCACCCCCCACAAGGAGTTCCAGGAATTCTTTCATCAATGGAAACAACGCTTAATGAATGTGCAATTTCAGAAGGGGACTACTTCAGAAGAGATTAAATATTGAATTTATGTGTTGTAGTTTTCTTATAGCACCTGTCCTGATACTTTTGATACCAATTACTATTATAATATATTTAATAAAGAATAGAAAGTAATTAATAAATAAAAAATAATATATAAAATAATTACCATTGTTTGACCAACACAAGGACTGACAAAAATTCATGTTAAAAAAATTTAAAAAAATGAAAACTACAGATAAAGTTCATTTTCTCCATCAAGTCATTCATTTCTGTAATTCACTGCTACTAACAAGCAGAAGTTTTTTTTTTTCTCTTGATGATGACCATGTTGGCCGAAACTAGTCAAGGAATCTAACTGAAATAATAAAAACAAAAAAATATTAATATACTATCCAGTGTGTCTGAAGATTTTAATTTTTTAATATTTTTTATTGTTCAAAACATAACTTTTTTTTTTTTTTAAACTGTTTAAATGTTAAGCAATAGAAAACGGTAAAAATACACTAACAAAATAAATGTTAGAACTCAAAGATACCTTTTCTTAAAAACATTACATTAAAGCAGAAATAAAAAAAAAAAAACTCAGTTATTTGTACTGATATATAAATAAATTAGCTACTATAATAAATGTAATATAAGTAACATGGCTTCGGGAGTTTTTGTTTATTTTTCTCTGGTATTTCACTTTTTGTTTGATAATCCGCAATTTTAGAATCCTTTTTGGTAGACTTTCTTTTTTGTAGCGTATTTTCCTTACATGCGAAACGCCAGCCTGTTCTATCTTTTTCGAATCTTTCTTTACGCTAACATATCTTGTGAAGTCTTCTGCCAACCTCTGTATCATAATCCTTGGTTCATTTTCCAATTTTGACAGCACTAATTTTCTCACCTCTGCGTCTCTTTCCGATACCAGCCCTTGAACAAACACTAAGCACTTAAAATTGTCAGCGCTTAACTCTGCCAGCTTGAATTCTTCACAATGCTTGTTCACATTGGCTGTCTACTTTATATGGTCTTGTTCGTCATCTTTCATCAGATTCAAACATTTCCACCTCTTGTGAAACAAAGATGTCTTTTTACTAAATAGTTCACTTAATATATTTACCGCCTCGGTAAATGCCAACTTGCTAGTTTTTTTTTCAGTAAAATGTAGTTTACCAATTTGTTATGCTCAGCAGTTCCTAACTTGCTTAAAAGAAACCTAACCTTCTTTCCTTCAGACCACAAGTGGCAATCCTTGTTATACACGTCCGTATATCTTTTATAATACTCTTCAAAAGTTATCTCTTCATCTGGACTGTACGTGAATAATTCAGTTGAATTCCATATTGTATTCTCTGGGAAAGAATCATTTTGTAGATTTTTCTCTTTCCTCTTCTCAATTATTTCCAGAATTTTGTTTTGAAACTCCTTATGCATCTGTTCCATTTCTCGTTGAAACTGCATTTGTCTATTAAAAGTTTCCTCCTGTAACTGCATCTGGAATGACTTCTGTTGCTCTAATATTGTCATCTGTTGTTCCGTCTTGAACTTTAAAAATTCCTGGAATATATTTTTGCATTCCTCCATCTTCGCAAAAATTTTACACAATGCTTAAATATTGTAGAGGGGGGGTCCTACGAATTTGCAATTCGTGACCTATTTGAGCAAACTGTCTTATCGAGAAAAAAAAAATTCTTTTCTCAGTTGAGAATACAACTGATTTTTTCATCACTCAGTTGACGTCTTGTCTTTCGAAAAACTTTGCCAAGTTTTTTTTTTTTTTTTTTTATGTGAATCCGAGATGTTGTCGCCGAAATTGTGACGAGCAAGTATTTTTCTTTTTCCTCCGTATGAGTACGAATTTCGTCACCAAATGTTGTGGCGAGCAAATTTTTTTTTTCCTCTTCCACAGTATGAATCCAAATACCTCATCGCCAAATAATTGTTGTGTGGCGAACAATTTTTTTTTCTTTCACCATATGAATTCGAATACCTCATTGCCATATAATTGTTGTGGAGTGAGTTCACAGTGGAGGCTTGTATTTGTACTAAGTCGGTCCTAAAATAGGTTCGACGTACAAAACATGAGGAACCTCATAAAATAGGTATGACGCAGAGAAATCTAGTTGTGGTCGCTGATACTTCAGTATCCGACTAACGGTCGTCCGGCATCGACTGACTGACTGAGCGACTCGTTACTATTACTACTCCTATTTATTATAGGTGGGAGAGTCTATTAACTATAGAATAGGTGTGTTCCATTATAACATTATCAGAAATAGGGCAAGTTCTCTTCAGAATTTAAACTTAATTTCAATGTCCATGTGTGATTTTTTTTTTTTTTTTTTTTTCTCTTCTCTCTCTTAAAAGTTCATACTAGTTGTGACATTGATGCTTACATATTTCAATGTCCTACTGCCTTATCGCTGTCATATTGCATCTTTTGACAATAAGTTGTGAATAAGAGTGGGAGGGGGTTGGGAGATTTTGTTTTCAATTTGTTTGCTTAATGTGCAAACAGAAATTGGAAACATGCATTTTTAAAAAGGTTTGAAATTTTTTGTATTTGTAGGTGAAAGAAATTTACACAAAATGCCTGGCCAATTGCTTCCTCATTCTGTTTCAATGCTATTTCATGTGACCTAAGACTTTCTTTCTTTTGAACATTCTGCTAATTCAGGAGCATTTATGAAACTGTACATTTTTAAACCTTTTAAATGCAGTATTTTCCTCATTAGACAGAAGTGGGAGGGGTGCCCTTCAGTAAATTTAAGAGATTTTGGTGTAAAACAAGTGTCAAATCATCTAACAACATGAGTTATAGGTGTTGAATTATAACTTTTAAGTAAGACCATATTTTTGTAAAGATGGACAAAGTTTGTCAGTATCTTTAACCAAATATTGTTACTATTGCTTTTGAACATTTTTCCCCTTGCAAATGTCAATTATTGAAAAGCTGAGCCAGGTGGGAGTTATTCATAGAAATTACAAATCTTGATTTGAATATGACAAACTATTTTTAAGAACAGCAGTAGAATATAGAATTTATCTTTTATTTACAAGTTTTTTTTTTCTTTACATAATCCATTAATTTTCCAGTTTCAAATCTCTCCCTATTCATGTTAAGCTTCTAAAGTACAGAAAAATTGTCAAAAATATTTCATATATATATATATATATACACATACCTGTGTACACATTGATTAGATGTTGAATAATGCTTCTGGTTGACTGTCTCTTCCAGGCCCCATGCTGTGATAAAGTGTATGTATGTAGGGTATGCCATGATGAAGCCGAAGAGCATAGTTTGGTGCGATCTGATGTCTCTGAGGTGGTTTGTGAACAATGCCAAACAAGGCAACCTGTAAGTATCTCTCTTTATTTCCCTTTCAAACTTAATGTTATTCTAGTTTCACTCTTTAATATCAGATGATCATTGAGATCTGAAAAACAAACACCTCCTTTAGTTGTTTACTCTTGCAGTGTCTCTGTTAACAACAGGCTACAAGATCTGACACTTCTATGAAGCCATTAAACTGTTGAACCTCTACATCTGACTGCACTTGTCACGACATTAGATCCCCCAGCATTTTGGATAAATTTCAGAATAATCAATGAAGAGCAGCAAAGTTGTTCATATGAACAGCCAGAATAAAGTTGTTTCCGTGTTCTTTTTCTTCTATGTGCCATGCCCCTTCAGGACATTGATGATCAATACTCTCCACAATTTCCTATCCTTTTTTTTTTTTTTTTTAGCTCTTAATAAGTTTTGTCAAAAGGACAATTTACACTAAACTCTGTTCTGCCACCCAATTACACAAGTGAGTTAGGTGAAATTTTCCTTTGTCACTCTTTCATTGTCTGCCTTAGAAATATCAACTTTCTCTTTCCGTTGTTAAGTATAAGTGCTTTTCATTTCCATTTTCCCTAACACTTGGTCATTGCTCACATGTTCAGTTCATGGCAGTCTCGGCATCCTTCCATTGGACCACATTTTTGTTGCCTCAATTCTTTTCTTTATCTGTGAGAAGATTGTTCAGCATTCACTGCCTATGGCTAGTACAAATGTTCTAACATGAACAGCCTTGCCCTGCCTCCGCGTCCGGTCGCCCAGCCTTGCCCTGTTTCTATATTAAGCCCCCTAATTATAAAACTTCTAAACAGAATAGAATATTTATCAATATACAATGATATCATCTTCTGCTGGATACCTAACCATGTCAGCATCAAGGCAATGATAGGGTCAATTCAGCAACCAAAAAAGCATCACCCTCCACAGACAGTACAAACATCAACACCTCCTAAACTGGCCCCAGATACACTATTAATCCATTTAAGAAGAATGGCAGATACAAATTATACAATATCAAACCTATCTTAGAAGAATGGCATCACAAACTAAAATCAATGAAAGATGAATTAATAATGTCCATACTTCATATCGAATCCTCCATGATAACACTCTTATATTCTTTAAAAAAAAAAAAATCACCTCCAATCTGTATGGCATGCCAAAAACTATAAACAAAATACATAACAAATTATAGTGACTTCACCTAAATCCACTTAAAATACTATCAAACAACCAACATGAAAGAATTTTTATGACATTAATCCATATATCCTACAATTTCTTAAAGAAATCAAACTGTATTCCAAAAAACTTCAACAAAACCACAACATAAACATAAAACACACATATCACCACCTCTAGTAATCGTGTCCACACAAATATGCATATGCACAAAAGATGAGTATCATCTACGTATTTAATTGTGAAAGCAGAATAACATCTATCATATTTTTATAATTTCAAAGCTTCCAAGAAAATTAAATTTCAGCATTAAATGACCCATAAGAAGTTGATATGCCAATAAAAAAAAAATAAAAAAAATCAATCCTACTTCCATTCTTTTTGGTCTGTCAGTTCTCTGGCTATTCTTAGATCATTGCAAAAGTTTTTTATGCCTAATTTCAAAATTAAAAACAAATTTTACATAGTCATAAAAAAACATTTCTGTGTCAAGTAACATAGTCTCCATTGTTTTTAACGACTCCCAACATTCTACAAGCGTGATAATGACGTTTTCCTATAAATTTTGTGTTTTTTATTGAAAAAAAGGTTGTGAGGTAGTTTTCAATTGACTGTACAAAGTCTAAAGAATTTTTTGTCTTTTAAATTGTTCTGTAGAGACCAGAACAAATAAGAATCTGAAGGTGCCAAGTCAGAAGAATACGGCAGGCATTGGAGCTTTTCCCATTTCAACTTCTTAAGCTTCTGCAAGGTCTGTTTTCCAACATGCAGTATTGCATTGTTGTCATGGAAAACGACATCTTTTCAATTTGCCAAAATTGGTTATTTTTCTTGGATAGCCGTATTGATATTGGGAAGTTGGTCACAATAATTTTTTGCAGTTATTGTTTCACTTGCTGGAAGAAACTCAAACTGAAATATCCCACAAAATGGACAGCAACACCTTCATTGGACGCAAGCCTGCTTTAGGCACAGGTTTTGAACATTCACAAACTTGTTTCCAGCTCCATTTGCATTGAACATTATAAACAATCCATTTTTCATCACCTGTAACAATTCTGTACAAGAACTACTCTTTTTCATGGTGTCACAGCAAAGAAATTGCTACAGAAACATGATTGATCTTCTTCTGTTAGAGAATGTGACACCGATGTGTCCAGTTTGGAAATGAACTCGGGTCTCTTCAAAAGGCAAAAGACAGTTGAGAAATCATGTGTTTTTTGGGGTTTGTTTTTTTTTTTTTTCTTTTCTTTTCAAACTCTCAGCAATCTCTTCTGTTGGAATCTTCTTTTTATTCTCCACGATGGCAAGCAGAGCATCTTCATCAATATTGGGAGATTTTCTGGAACATTAGTGATTGTTTTGGTTCAAATCACACTGTCAAAATCTGCCAAACCACTTTCTGACTGAGATTTATAGAACATGCAACTTTTCATCCTCCATCTTTAAGACATTCATTTGTGGACAACATTCAACAAAGTCTGACTCGCAACTTAACAATGCAAAATTTCAATCTAAAACACACCAGGAATCGGCACAAAGACAAATGTCTGTCAAATTGTTGTCATTTTATATTAACAATGAAAATCAAGCAGAAACTGTTGCAATGGTCTGATACAAAATCAAACTGAAATGTCCCACCAAACAGACAGCAACACCTTCATTGGATGCAAGCCCTTTTTAGTTACAGGTTTGGCACGTTCACAAGATTGTTTCCAGCTCAGTTTGCATCAAACATTATCATAAACAATCCATTTTTCATCGTCTGTGACAATTATGTCCAAGAACAGCTACTTTTAGTGACATAACACCAAAGAAATCATCACAGAAACATGATTTGGCTTGTTCTGTTCCATCAGAGAATGTGGCACTTGTGTATCAAGTTTGGAAACAAACCCAAGTGTCTTTAAAGGGTGAAAGGCAGTTGAGATATCAATTGTCTAACTCTTAGCAATCTTTTCCATCAAAATTTTTTGGTTTATTCTCATCAATGATAGGTAGGGCGACTTCGACATCAAAAACTCACCTGAAGTGTGGTTAAAATCACCCTGACAAAATCTGCCAACCACTTTTTAACCATCAGAAGAACTGGATCAGGATCTTCTAAATGTTTTTTGTTGCAGATCCGATGCTTACTCCTCTCTGAAATTCATAGAGCATAATATGTCGAAAATGAAATATTCAGCAAAGTCTGGCTTGCGACTGAATGATGCAAAGTTTCAATCTAAAACAGACCAGGAATTGGCACAAAAACAAAAAAACAAATGTCAGTGTCAAGTTGTCACTTTATATGAACAATGAAAATCTTGTAGAAACTATTGCAATGATCTGATACAAATTTTTTCACTTGAACGACCTTATTCTAATTCCATGTTTGGCTGTGAAAATTTTGATATGCCACTATGGTCATCATGTATGTCCTTGTTTTACATGAAGGTAACAGTGAGATTAGCCACATCTGACAAAACATGATCAGCATCTTGATCCAATTTTTTTGTGCAGACACCTACATTTTCAATTACATTGCTAAGGTGTGTGACTGATGTATTGGATAGCGGCTCAGAGTTAGAAATTGGATAGCCGCATTTGAATTCCAGCCAAGTTCGTTACACTCACTTACGTGCAAATACCATTGAGAAAGATATAAATCACTAGCTTCTCCCCAGCAGTGGTTTAAATAATTGAACTTTTATCTGCGAAATAATTAGTTCTTACAATCCACAAAAATCTTGCTTTTAAATTACTCACAAAGATTTGATAAGGCGTAAAAAAATGTCTTGAGGACTAGACTCTTATTTAGTTAGTCGGTTTTATAGTGATTATAGACCCTGGTACATTCAAATAGTAAATTGTGAGTTTCAAACCTTAATTCTTGAAAATGGAATTATTACTAAGCAGAAGTGCATATTTTCTTTAAATAATCTCATTTGTTGGTGTATAGGTTTATCAATAAGTTTTCAGCTTAATAGTTGCTGAGGAATAAACATTTTCCTTGTCAAATTGAAAATGCACTTAATCCAGCACTTCTATATAGATAATATACTGCAAATTTTATGCAATGAAAAGTTTTAAAGCTGCAGCTTTCATAGAAATTGTATTCTTAAAGTTTGTCACCATTTCTTCATGATTTATCATGAATTTGTCTTTCATCTTTTGCAAACTCTGTTCATATTTAAGAAATTACGAAAAGAGTACCAGTAATGAATTATTTCAAAGACTATAATACAAAATGTCTTTTTCTAAAATTTTAATGATAATTTAAATCTCAGTGCTTTTTGCATGAACAGCTTATTTATGTTAGAAATACATGATTGTTTTCATAGTATCTGTGATTATCATTATTCAGTTGGTATAAAAAAAAATTATTTGTAACTTGGTTTACTGCAAATCAAGTGATCAAGACAATCTTACCTGATCTTCACAAAAGTACTTTTCTTTTTTCTAAGTTTATTATTAAATTTCTCTTCAACTCGAAGTAAATTGTACTCCTGATTACCTTACATTACTCATGTCCATTTTTTTAAATTTTTTTTTTAAATAAAAATTGTGACCTACCACTCAAAGTTAAAAAAAAAAAAAGAAAAGTAAAATAAAATAAAATTTCAACTTAAATCTAATGATTAACTACAATAAGTATTTCTTTGGCTTTTCATCCTTAAACCTGTAGGTTTCTTTTTAAATGAGTGCAGTTTGCTATTTCTGAGAAAATTGCGACAACTTTTAAGCCTTTCAAGTTTCACATAATCAGAACTAGTTGAATACAGATTTTAGCTTCTTTTTTTTTTTAACATTTTATTTAAGAATATTTGAACAAATTTTTGTATATCATTATGATGATTAACATCATTTGATATTCATGTTCTGACCGTTTCTCTTTTGATAACGTTGATGATTCCTGTAAGGTTGACATTGTCAGTTCACTGAATTTACCGAAATATGCAAAGTAAAATTCGAAGGATATTTGCATCATAAAAACAGGCTGAATTATTGTCATACCTAATGGGATGTGGCATAGAAATGTTTCTGATAAAATCTTGCTAAAATTGTTTCACTGGTGAAGAAGTGTGCATCTGACAAATATCAAAAATAAAAAAAAAAATCATGCCTAAGATTTTAAAAGAAAATCGATACTGCTCACCTACCTACTTAGTCTGGTTTATCAAGTTTATTATGATTATTACTTTTGAATTTTTCTATTTTATAGGTCAACAGCCACTGTATAAATTGCAAAATAGAATTTGCCAAATATTTCTGCAGCAAATGTCGCCTCTATGATAATGTTGACAAGCAGCAGTTTCATTGTGATGCGTGCGGATTGTGTCGGTGAGTTGCAAATCTTCTTTTCATCTTATGCTCGATAAAATTCTCCTCGTCGCTAATATTAGGTTAATTGTTTACTGTCGATTAATGATCTATTGCTATATACACGCCTTTCCTAGCATTAGAAAAATGATATCTTTTCGCTGTTGGAGTTGTCTCCCACGAACTCTCTACCAAAAAGCTTCAAGTTACAAAAAGCCAGCAAAATTAAAGTTCTGTCAAAAATCAAATTGAAGTGAATGGTTGTAATAAAGTGCAGGCTGGAGGAAGATAATTTTCCACGTCTTATGGAAGTTTAATTTCATCCCCTGCTCCTTTCTTTACTCGCTATTGTGGTGGCTTTTAATCTGTCACATTTTAAGATGTCAGTGTTTATGTGTATTTGTGAACAAATACACAAGAAAGAAACAGTCTCAGAATTCCCTGTTAAATAATAACAATTTACTGTTACCATACATGACTGAAGGTTGACTCCCCTAAAACCATTGTTATTAAAAATTAATCTAGGCGACGATAAACTAGAGCAGGTCTGCACAATTTGTGAAATATGAAGGGCCACATTAACCGCAGAATATTAACCAAGCAAGAGCTACAGTTGAAATTTTTAGAGCAAATTATTAAGTATCAGAGAGAGAAAGATAGAGAGAGAGAGATTTGAATAATCATGATTAAGTAATTCATCAAGTCTAGAAGAATCTTCAACAGAATGCAAAAAGCACCGGACACCAGTTTTGTCCTATTTGGGGACTCCTCAGCAGTACGCATCCACTACTGAGAATTGAACTCAGACAGTCATGATAGGACACAAGCGTCATACCCACTAAAACAAGAGGTAACAAATTAGACAAATTCCATTGTGTGACCCATCCAAGTCTACTTATACAAACGGACTGTGAAAACGAGTCATGTGTTCTATCTCCAAGCCTCTCCATCCAGAGCATTAGAAGTCTGTTAAAGCAAGGAGATATATATATATATATATATATAAATAAATAAAATGAGAGAGAGAAAATTTTCTTTTTCTATGGAGAATTAAAAGGATTAATTGGATATAAAGACTGAAATATTTGTTGAATAAAATCATGCTTCCACAAAAATGAATTTTTCTATGTGCTCTGTTGTGGAATTAAATCTTAACGCAAAAATAATTGACTTTTTTGCAACCCAGGCCACATTTTATAAATGTATAACTAAACAATCATACCAGCTTTTATAATGTTATTCAGTAAGGATGAGTGACTTAAATGTTCTTGAATATAAAATGTTCAAAATCAGATCTTTGACCTTTTGAAAAGAAAAATAAATTTATTTTGTATCTAACAAATAAAAGAAAAAGCAGTATCCACAATTGAATGAGTAGAAAAAATTAACTAGCATAATCCAAAATTGTACTTTGTACTGCTCCAATATTTCTTTTTCACTTTTTTAAATGACCCAACCCAAAACCAAACTCTATTTACATATTGGGGAAATATGCCATTAAAAAATCTACCTTTGCTTTAAAAGGATGAAGCCAAAATAGATTGATTTTGATGCTTTTTTTTTCTTTTTCTTTTCAATTTTTATTTTATTTTTATTTTTTTCTCAACCTCTCTCTACAGAATTGGTGGCCGAGAAAATTTCTTCCATTGTGAAAAATGTGATGTGTGCCTTTCAATAACCATGAAAGATTCTCACGAGGTTAGATTGCTACATCCTCATTTCTCTTTCATTGCCGCTTTCATCTTGTCACAAGAAAAAACTGATTTTGCTTTTTAATGAGAACAATGGTAGCCTTTTTATCTTATTTATTACAAGGTCAAAGAGCCACTCAAGGTAGAGTGTTACTCTGTGGAATTATTAGCATAGGAAAGGATCAGTGTTAGGCATGTAGAGCTGAAGCAAACGTTAGAAAGGACTGGAAACCTAATCTGAAACACAGAATAACCCTCTACTCCTGTTTAAAATATATATCTATATATAAATCATTTTAATCATATTTGCTACATTCACATAGAATCACACAGGTTACCTAAGTTAATTATCAGTTTTTCTCTGGCAACCATGGCAAAACAATTTGTTTTAATTTTCCAGGTATGTGTGAACTGAAGAAATTTTAGTATACGTCCAACTTCATCATGCACTCAGTGAGGGACACACATTCAATGATGGCTTGCAAGGCTATCAGGTTTTTCACTGTGTTCAGACATTCAGTAAAAGAATTAAAAATTTATAAATAAAAGCATACATACATACATTCTTGGTGTCTAACATTTCCAAGTGTTGGTATGGCCAGAAAAGAAGCTCCCCCACTCCTGAGAAGCTTCTTTTAAAGAAAGGAGTTGAAACTTTCTGCTATATAATTTTGCATGAATGATGTTTCTCTAAGAAGTTCTACTTGATCCTCTGCTTGGCCTGACTTCAGGCAAATGCTTTTTTTTTGAGTATTTTTCCCCTTTTTCCCCATCCCCTTAATAAGGTAACGCATATTTTTGCTTGCAAATGTCAAAATCACTCAAGTCTTTGAACTAATCCTTTCTATTACATAACGTTGAAAATTATGACAATTCACAAATGTAAACTACAATGTGTACTCATAGGCACTGGATTTGTATGAGGTTAGCAACTTCACCCAGTAAAACTGACTCACTACTGAAACTGTAGTAGCACCACTTTGCATGGTGATGTTGCCAAAAGAGTTTATTGGCTAATGCTTGAGCAAGCTTCTCCCCACTATGACTCTTTAACAAAATCAAGATATCAATTCTGACAAGAAATGGTTTTATGTCTCTACTGCTGTTAGACATAGCATTAAATACTATCAAGAGATCAAGTCTTAGAATCTGTTTTAATAATGGTACTAAAAGAATGCTCTGAAATTTAGATTTCTTATTTGGTTACTGTAAATATTAAAACAACAGTGTTGAGACAGGATATATATATATATATATATATATATATATATATATATATGTGTGTTACTGAAAAAAGAGTCACTGAAGATAATGTTAGTGAAAAACATTTTATGAGTAGTAAGAGGTAAGAAATACACTTTATTTATATGTGTGGGAAGGTAACAGTTAAACTTACACTTGGAAAGGTTAAGATTTTATTGGCCAGGAAAGCATGCTCTTGAGAGTTGTTTGCACAAAGTACCATTTCATAGGAAGAAGCTGAAATTTTCTTACAAAGGGAATGGGGGTGGTTTGATTCTGTGTTCATGGCATGTTGGTTCTTAGCTGTGAGGATTAGAAGTGAGGAAACTAAGGATTATAGCTCATCAGAACATTTTCCAATTAAAATATTGATAGAATAGCAATGTTCATTTGTGGGAGAGGGTATAGGGTAGGAGATAATTCATCACTCACAAGGCCATGTCAACACTTTTGAACTCTTATCAAGACTTGGGAAGTGAAGGCTGGGTAGCTCCAGTCTAAATATGGCAGAGATATTTTGGTCTGATCTGACTCTCTTGTTAAGCCAGAACATTGCATAGCAGGATGGGATGGGCACAAGTCCCCAAGCAAGGAGTCTCTAAAAGAGAACCCCCTGTCCATTGCAATGTATGAATATTCAGGGTCTGCTTGGTGATGATGGAACATTACTAGTTTGGGTGGGGTTTTATTTTATTTTATTTTTTTATTTTAAGGTATTAAATGTGAGGGTAAGAGTCTGTGTCCTAATGCCTCACAGTGACACTGAGCTTACATGTTCAAAAGGATTTATGTTTGTATGTCACACTTTAGCAGTGTACATATACTGCACTCTGATCCAAGGCAGAAGTGCCAATCCATGTCTACATATTCTCATTATGTTGGCTGTTGCTCATAGAAAATAAAATCTTTGGCAGACAGTTTACAAAATATTCTCACTATTTAAACAATGATTTTTAGAGTTCATTTGTGACTTTTTTTCTTTTTTTTTTCTTTTCTTTTCTTTTCTTTTTTTTTTTTTTTTTTTTTTTTTTTTTTTTTCCATGTACACCTTTTACTTTGTATGTTTTTATTTCTTAACACATGTCCTGAGGTTGAAATGAATAAACAATGAACTGATTATTTCACTCTTGTTAAACAAATTGATTTTTTTTTTCTTTCTTTCTTCATTTCTCCATACAGTGTTTGGAAAAGATTTCGCACAAACAATGTCCTGTTTGTCTCCTCAATTTGCACACTTCACGTCAACCATCGCAGATTCCAAAATGCCGGCACATGATACATGTGTAAGTGGATCAATATCTTTCTCCCTCTCCCTGAGATCTACTGATCACAATTAATAATGCATTGTGGTTAAAAGATTTAATTTTGAATTGTAACTTTTCTGTGACTTTGCCATAAGCAAAGGTATTTTTGCTAAATAAAAAAAAAAAAAAAACTTTTCCAACTTCCATTCAAAAATTGTTCAGATTCAGTAAGTTGTCCTTGATTTTAACAAAGAAGCTGCTTCTTGCCATATTAGTTCAGTCTCTCTTCACTTTCTCACCACAGTATAAGCAACTGAATAACAGTCTTGTTCTCTTCAAATTGTATCTCAATCCAGCAACTTAAAAAGCTTGAAGGGTTTCTATTATGCAAACTTAACCTTCTCAGCTAGGTTGGTTTGAGTGTGTGTGTTTGTTTGTTTTTTTTTTTGTTTTTTGTTTTTTTTTTGTTAGTTTCTTGCTTCATCAGTTTTATTGGGGCAGTTAAGATTCTGGCAAAAATATCTTCTTAATGTTCTCTCTCTCCCTCCCTCATTACAAACTCTTCACATGCTTCAGGAATTGGTTTTACTCTGTGTGATCCCTTTCCTCACTTTGATAATAAGTGTCTTGGCCTGAAACAAGATGATAAAGTTTCTTTTGTTTAACCCACAATTGCTTTTGTAATAATTTTATTTCTATTTTTCTTGTTTTCAGTGAATGTTTTGAAAATCTCCTTCATGCAGGGTAAGTTAGTTTTTTGTTTTTTTGGGGGGCAATTTTGCAATTTAAAACCAAGGTTATCAAATTACCAATGGTCACAGGTGACACTCTCAGAAAAATCTGGGAAAATTCACAGGTATTTGTTAATCAAAATAAATCCCAAATATTAGATCTGCATCTTTTAAAATCGGAACACCTTGAAATTTCACTGCATTTTTTGTGTTTTTTGGTTAAATAAGGTTTACAACAAAATTCTGACCTTCATAACTCCAAGGATACTTGGTGATAATAGTTAATATTTACTGTAGATTAAAAAAAAAAATAAACAGATTCAGTATATTTTGTGTATTTTTATTTTTATAAGAACCTGAATGTTCGAAATGTAAAAAGACACTGTCCAATTTGTGAGTTTCTTATTTACAAAGTATGTCAGATAAAGCATCCAAATTAGGTTTTCCTGTCATTTAGGACCAAACAGATTATTTCTATGCAGTAACCATATTCCCCACTGTTATAGGACTATCAGTATTACTGTTTGATAATTGTTTAATTTAATAAAAAAAAATTAAACATGCTTAAAATTGTCTATTTTAATAATATCAGCAGACCAGTTAGGCAGTTTAAGAATTTTTTTTTTTTAATATTTTTACCTCGTATTCTTTCATGTCTAAAAACTATGTGGCAGAAGTTTCATTTTGTTGAGAAACTTCTGTCTAGGTTTAAAACATTTTTCTAGAACAACTTGTCATGCCAAAATCATGGTTTTGTTGATTTTGACATGTTATGAAGCTAGTACTCCCTACAGTTTTTTATGCAAATAAACTAGTTTTTGCTTGAGTTTACATGCTGTGGGAAATCAAATGTTTCTGGATTGTTTAAAAATAAAAAATCTTTAGTTTCTTTGTTTATTTAACCAAAGAAACTAAAGCCAAGGACATTAAAATAATGATTTCACTAAATTATTTTAATTTTAAATACACCAAGTCATAATAATGAAAATGCAGCCCAATTTGTTCAGATTAACGCAATTTTATTGATACTCAAAAGCATACAAAAATCAGGGTCATTAGTAAGTCAAAAAATCTTTTCTTTTTTTTTGCAAATCTGGTATCAACATAATTGATAGTGAAAATGAAGGTGAAAGCTTTTCTGATTGCTTTGATAGTTTTACTTATTTTCCTCTCGACAAATCATCACAAATGCCTTGACGAATGTTACTCTTTATCTTTTATGTCTGCTTTGACATTGATAATTTCTCTTCTTCAACTTTGCAGGCATTATGCTTGTCCTGTTTGTGGTAAGTCGATGGTAAACATGAACAACATTTGGAAGATGAGAGATGAGGAGGTTATGCAGACAGAAATGCCAGACGAATACAAAAACGTTACTACAAAGATCCTGTGTCGAGATTGTCACAAGGTAAGCAGCCATATTGTTACTTTCCCTCTCTAAATTAAATGCATGTTAAATACAAATACACCATTTAATTATTTGACACTCGTTTTGGTCTTTAATAAAATACAATTGATTTGAAAAATTCATGCATTAGTTTATGACCTCGCTACAGATTCTTCCACGTATTTTGTACACATTATGCCACTGCTTAGATTGGTCCACTTATTTCAAAAAAAAAAATTAAGGAAAATATTTTGAGGCATAATTTTTATAGATTACCATTTTTTAGACTTTCTTTAGGTCACTTTTTTTATAAGGAGGTTCCTGTTTACAGTATGAAATTGACTTTTACAGAGTTACTGGACTTGTCTATTTTGTATACAAAAGCACAAAAATGTACATAAATTAATAAAATTATGTATTTTTATTTTAAGATAAATAATTCATTAACCATAAATATTTGTGGATGTGAAGTTAAAAAAATTCACAAAATGTAAAAAAAAAAAAATATGCAAATATTAATGATGTTAAACCATTTTTAAATTTGACATCCATAATTAACAACAAATGACTTAGTCTAAGCCCAGTAACTTTGTAGAAGTTAGGGATGAATTTGACACTATTATAAACAGGATCCACCTTCTAAATCGTGTGTGTGTGTAAATTGTTTTCAGATAGTGTATCTGTATAGGAACAAAATTAATAAAAAGATGAGGAAAAACTATTCTTAGCTGACATTTTGTCCTCTGATAAAGTCTCTCAGAGGATGAGCACATTGACTAAGAATAGTTTTTTCACTTATCTTTTTATTCTAACAAGTGTTGCTGCCTAAAGAAGATCTAAATAATGCTAACTGACAAAAATTACTTCCCAAAATAGTTCTCTTCTTTTTACATATTTTTCTATTTTTTTGCCATGAGTTATGCTTGACAATGAAATACTGGAATTAGTTGACCAGCCTAAATATTTAGCCCTACCAGTTTATGAAAACCTTAAACTGCTGAGAGAGTGAAATGAAGCTGTACTGTTTGTTGTGTATCTAGCTTGGCCTATGTGGACTTTTTTTTTTATCAATTGTTTCATGCTTAATATTCAACAGGACTGCATCCTGTGAAACAAGGAATCCAACTAGAATTTAGTAGTTTTATGCTTGAATCAAGCCATGAAAATCATTTCCATAAAACCAACAGTATATCTTTATTTATCTTTTCATATATCCAAATTGTTTTGCAATTCAATAGAAATTTTACACATGAATCGCCCATTTTGGTAGTTTTTCTTTTTCTTTTTTTAATATAGATTCTCGTGGTGCTAGTCAAAGGTCTGTTATATCTGTTATGGAGTTTGTCAGTTATGGAGATAATTTTTAATCCTATAAATATAAATTTTATAAGTTCTGAAAGTATAGGGTGAGAGTTTTTGAAGAAATAAAACTAAAAACAAAAAAAAAACACAAGCACACATACACACAAGAATGTTTTCCAATGCTGTTTTGTCCCTGTCTTTATGATGTTTATTTCTTTTTGTTTGCAGGAGAATGTGGTGCCTCTGCATTTTCTAGGAATGAAATGTCCCGATTGTGGCTCGTATAACACATGTCGGTAACACAGGCTGAAGCCCCCACTCATCGTGCTAATTGATACTTGTACAAAATACATGCGCGTATCTATAAATATAAATATATAAATATGCATATAATATACTTTTAAATATGAAGCAACAGCGTTCAATTTTTGATACACACACATTTTCTTGTCCTGCCTTCGCTCCATGCTTTGCCTTTTTGCAGTTCAACCCCAAAAGTAGAATTTGTGAGAAATTCTGTCATTTGAGTAAAGCTAACGAATTCCTCTCTGCAGATATACACCCTCCTCCTCCCAACATTCATACTTTTGATTTTTTTCAATTGTTTCATTATTTAATTGTCACTTATATTCTGTCAGGTGTCACTTTTGGAGATCTGTGCTGTTTTGAGGAGGATGTTTAATGATTGTCCTTCATTGAATAAGGACTGAGGAGGGAGTGTCACACCTTATCACCTGTGTAGGGCTCTAATCATGGAGTAAATCTCTTCTAGAAAATTCTTTCATCTTTCTTGGAAACAAAGACTTTCAAACGTTTTAAAATGCTTCCTTTTCAATTACCTTTAACATTACAAAAAAATTTTTCTTTTCTTTTCCAAGTTTGCTCTTAAATTCTTCAGTTTTGTGTAAAAACATTTAAGGGATTTCTTCCTTTCTCCAATTGACTTGACAAGGATTTAAGCCAAAATGGTTCTTTTCCTATCTTCACACTTGTAGATAACCTGACCAGATATGAAATGTGACACATCAGTTACTGTGAAATCTGTATTTCACATGTGAACATGTCAGTTACTTTACTTGACTGCAAAACACACATAACTTCATCTTAACCAAAAGAATTTTCATTCACACGAATTTCAAACAACAAACTGCCTGATCTGATGGAATGCTAATCGCATGCACTAAAATCACCTGTAATTAAAAAGAAAACTGGGAAAAAAAAAATCTATTTTCATGCACAATGATTGACATGGAAGATCTATAGCAGATTAAACCTGGCTTTTGTTAATTGATCAAATCAAATTCCAGGCAAATTTAATTTGACTATTTTGCAGTTGCTTTTATTGGTTACGGTTTCTTAGTCCTACACAGCACGTTTTTGGTAGATTCAATTTAGTCTGATTGGGTTTCCTAATGTTTAGTTTAGGAAGCTAATTAAAACTGTCCTCTGAGATAGAAAATAGTAAAACCTGGCTTCCTTTTTGTGTTGTTGCTGTTAGGGAAAGATGTGGTTCCAGTCTTTCTGCCAGTCATCACAACAATATTGTCACTGGTGTGGCGTAAAGGCAGTCCCCATTTAAAAGGAGGATTGATAATTTTTTTTTTTTTGGATCTCTGCTTCTCTCTACTTAAAATTACATTGCAAAAGAAAAAACTTTATCCATATTTAATCACTTATTTGAAAATCCATCGATTTGCAAGTGTTAATATTTTAATTCTAACAACTGCTTCATCACTTTTACATGCTTCATCACATGGTAAATTGATAATAAAACTCACTTACCCAGCATCAAGTATTGGAATCATAGATTTCTGATCAATACCCTAGCTACTGATATGTCATCCAAAATGAATTTCTCTTTTGCATGATTGGCGTTTCATGCCTTCTCAACTTTTAAAACGTCTATTCAAGGCTATTGAATTATTCATACTTGGTCTTTCTTAATAAGATTGATTTTTATAAACCATCTGTAAGTTAGCACCTAATGGATACTTGAATGAAAAGAAAAATTATTTTTTTAATTAATACTTTTTTTTTTCTCAAGGTAGGTAATTGAAAATATCTTTTTGACAAAAAAAAAAGATGCTTCACAGAAGAACAATAAAATCTGGTCATGTTACAAAAGCTGTCATATTTAGAAAGTTTTATTCAACTTTGACTAGAAATATATACAGAATTGCTTACATAGATGCACATGACTGCTTCCTGATGCATGGATACAAGGAATGCTGGCACCCTCACGGCAGTAGTACAAGCACACTCCTTTCAGGTGTTGAGATTCCTGAGACCCCTTCCTCTGCTTGATAAGGGTCATATCACTTGGCTGGATCATGTTTGCTATTACTGACTGCCTCCAAATTGCTAGCAAATTTCTGTTCACAATTGCTGCTCAGAACCTGGCACTTTTTTTTTTTTTTTTTCTTCTGTATACCACTCTCTCAATTGCACTTGCTCGTTTCACTCTTTATAGATGGTCTTTCATATGCGACCAGCTCCTAAAGTCTATGCTTCCTACGCTACCTTAAAACCCATAGTTCATGAAGCAACTGCCTTATACCTTGAATTTCCAACTTGCTATGAAAATGCTTCTCTTGCAATTCTGTTCAGCAAAATTAATTCAAGTGTGTTATCCATATAGATGGATGGATTCTCCCATCAAGAATGACAGATAAGGGTTCAGTAAATTCAAAGTTTTTAGTGAACGACCATCACAAGTGAATTGTTTAAGGTGGTCAGTTGCCTGCGGCCCTCAATGCAGCTACTCTCCCTCATAGTCCCATGTCTTATATTGTGCACTGTGCAGGCTATTTTGAATAGGAGGTTTCCATCTATATGCATTTTAGCCATTGGCTCCTATAAGCTTATCTGCCCATTGCCTAACCTGTCCAGGCTGGTTTCAATTCAATTTTCCTGGGTTTACAGTGTGGAATAATAAATAGCAGCTCAGAATGAGAACACTCTGAGAGCAGAGTTTGTTACATTGACTTATGTGCAAATACTGGGGTGGAGGTATGAATTCATCTCCCCCCCCCCTGCTATGAGTAAATAGCAAGATGGACTGGGCCCTATAGCCTTGGTTAGCAATCAGTGTAGGAGAAGGAAATATATGCTAATTGTTCATCATGGTCAGTTGATTTTAATGACATATATCTATATATCTACCATTTAGTCTTTTTATTTTCATCAAATTCAATTGTAGCTTAACATTGACTAAAGCTAAATGAACCTGATCCCTAGCTAAGGAATCCTATTTACTCCAATTCAGATGTCATTGATTTTCTTCTTGATGATTTATGACAGAAACAAACCATCCAATGCTTTTGGTACTGAACTGTGTACAGCTGTAACTATATGATGATATCTAATTGATGTCAGGATGGTTGAATTTGGCTCAGCGTCTCTCTGCCTTTAACACTTAATATTGCAAAGAGTTGAATTTGTTTCAGTCTTTAAGTATTTGGGTTAGGTGAAGGAAGAGTGTTTGGCCTGTCGTATGATTTTCCAACTTAATGAAAATGCTGACTTTCTCTACACACCATACATTTTCCCAGATCCTGTCATAGATCTATAGTTGGCAAGAATTTCTGTAGTTGTCAGTATTTTTGTAGAAGGCATTTTAAACAAATGATCTCTTTAAAGTGACAGTTTCATTCTCTTGATGTGAATGCAGAAATTTTGCTTGACTGTTTGAACTCCAATTTTTTAATCAAGTTTTATTATTAAAATTTCATCCAAGTGGAATTCTTAAACATCCTGATCGTCCAGTAACTGGAATACATTTTTATTCCTTCATGATAACCTTAATAGTTGAAAAATCTGAACTTGGGCTTTGTTCAAAGCCTTGGTTCAGCAAAAGTCTTTGATATTAGGGTATCTGAATTTAAACTTAAAAAAAAAGAAAGAAAAAGTGCTTTTCTGACAGCCAGGTTTAAAGTTAATGCCAAGACGCATTCTTACAAGATAACTGACTATTTTAGAATTATTGACAATATTTGATGACTCATTGTATGACTTTCTCCCAAGACAATGTTGATGATGATATCAACCCAATTTGAACCCCCCTGAACTCTTCTTGGCAAAATAGCAAAGTACATAGATTTATAAATACTATGTACACTTATTTGTATATCTTGAACTGTTATTAAGTGTATATAAATACTTGTGCATGTTTTTATGTGAGTCTACTTATATGATGTGGGTGTGTACATTTAGATGTTAACCACACATACAATGTATATTGATATGTCTACGCAAGCGTGCACTCATTTGTGTGTGTATATATATATATATACACACACTATTTAATTTAGTAACTTCTAAATATTTTATTTTCGGCTTTGTTCATTTTAAGTAACTTTTTCCTTTTATTTAAATGATACTGCATTTGGCATTCGCATGCATATATGTAAGAGAATTTTTTTATTTTTTTCAAATCCTTCAACTCCTTAGTTCATTTTTTTTTTTTTTGTTCTGTCAGCATTTGAAGTTATGACAAACTGCTAACACCTGAAGCAGAACTGCTCTCTATAATGTCAAGTCTCCTCAATCTTTGCAAGTGATGCCTTCCAATGACATGAAGCAAATTGCTTGTAGACAGAGATTCTAATGCTGTCTCAGCTGGTAAAAATTTACATACACAAATTTAGTATGTATTCATATATATATATATATATATATATATATATATATATATATATATATATATATATACACACACACACACACAATGTTGGTTTGATATTAGATCACAGCTGTGACTACCAGATAACAATTATTACAACTATTTTTGTCGTCCCAAAATTTTTTTTTTTTTTTTTTTTTTTTTGTTGTTGTGGCCTGTCTAACAAGGCCGGACTTGGGGGTGGGAATTGGTTTTTCTGTGTAACAAAGGAACTGACTGAAACATTTTTTGACTGCCAGCATTATTGTTTTTGTTTTTATTTTGTTCTGTTTTTTTGTTGAAATGTCATGGCAACTTCCATACAATAAAACCCTAACCGCCCTCTTCCCTGCGGGGTTTAACAGTGTTTGGCTGACTTCTGTTGTCCATAATTAATTTTTTTTTTTTTTTTTTTTTTTAAACCCATGCTTTTGGGATTATGTGTACCTTGTCAAATTTGCAAGTTTCTCTGTTCACACATGCACGGGTGATTTATGGTCAATTATTTTTACACACTAAAATATTGCAGCTATCTCTGACACTAATTATTAGTGAAATTAATCAGATGACTTTTACTAAATTGACTTACCAAGTAGAAATTTCAATTGAAGTAACTGATATTTTGGCTTCGGTTGAAACACTCACAACCATGATTATTTTTCATTAGAAAAATATTTTGACATTTCCAATGTGGCTAGAACCTAATCTTTCTAGTGTCCTCCATCTTTTTTTTTTTTTTTTTTATCAATGTAAAATTTATTGTTCAAAAATATATGCTGTGAATCAAATCTGTTTTCATGTTTAATGCTCTTTTAGGTCAACAAAATGATTTTGTTAGAAGACCTGTTTGAATCTTGTCTGGATTTGTTTTGTTCATTCTGAAGAACTAATATTGTTCTTAATTTGCCATGTAAAAGAAAATTATGTAATAGAAAGAGGGATCTGATTTTGTTGATGACAAAATTTGAACAAAAGGATTTGAGAAAATAACACCATGTTCTTTTAGTTCTGCTTAAGTTTAAAATTTGGAATTATACACTTTTTGACTATATAGAACCAAATTCTTTCTATTGTCTTTTATATGGAGTGGGAAATACCCAGCATCTTTCTAGAATCAAATTCTAGGAAATTTCAAGAGCACTTTTCCAGAAGATATTGTTCTGTCCAAATTGCAAGAAAAGGTTATATTCTTAGAAATAGGGATTTCACCAATGGAAAGCTTGAATCTTGGATATTTCTTTTCAATGAGGAAATTGGCAGATCAATATTTTTTATCTGAACACTTCAAAGGAAAGATGTCTGAAAATCTGCCTTCATAACAAAAACACATGCACACACACACACACACACACACACACACACACACACACACAATGTGGAAAATTGTTCCTGTTGAAAACTGTCAAATGTTTTACAAATGGAAACCATAAAGATGGCACTTTTATTTTTTTATTTTTTTTATTTTTTTCTGTCTCTGGGGTGGGGTCTGAAAATAGAAACTGATAAAATGTTTTGAAAGTACAGCTTTACAAAATAAACTTGGGAATTATTGCCAAGTGGTGGAGGGATCTTCCCCCACCCCATCTCATCTGTTGACTCCCACCACCACTACACACTTGATCTGTAATGGCTTGAATTGTATTAATGCCAGAAAAGTTTGCACTAAATTAATTTCTGTCATGCTCACTTCAAGAAATTTCTTTTTGCCCATTGCTGAGGCTGTTTTTTTTTTGTTGTTTTTTTTGTAATGGTAATGCTAAATATTCTTTGTCTTTCATTATAAAAGAGCCACTCTCAAAGCCTTCAGCAGTCATCCATGACTGCACCCACACTTTCCTTTTCTTGGTTTTACCTCATTATGGTCAAAAGAGTTAGTCTGGGGGAAAAAAACATCTGGCTTATGCAGACATTAATTTTAGCAATTATTTCAGTAACTAATTGAAGGAAAAATTAAGCTTTGAAAGAATTTTAACTTCATTGACAAGCCACACGACATATATCTTATTTTAAAATGTTTAAACATGTTTGTCAGAATTCATAGGATCCATCATTGATTTGTATTTAAACATAATTAGCTAAAATAAATGGTCATGTTTCTTTTCTTTTTAGTAGGCATCAAATTTTTGTATTGTAGATGGAAATTTTTTTTTTAAAGTTTCTTGAATAACATCACTTCCTTTTTTTTAGAAGGCTTGAATCATGGCAGAGAGGTTAAGCTTTTCCTCAATTTAAGGAAAATCTAGGAAAGAAAAAAACTGTCCAAACTACAACAAAACCCCAATTGGAGCATGAAAATAAACTGTCTCTTTGTACTGGTGTGAGATTGGTAACTTGGTACATACAGATATTTGTCCAACTGAGTCCAATGCCTGTAGAAGTCAGCCATTTTCACAGATGGCATCTTAATATAAGTTAAAGTTAATGAACCACTGCTGGGAACATTTATTAAAATTGATAAATCAAAGGGAAGTATGAGCTATCGATATTGTTATTTTAATTTATGTTTTGTTTTGTTTTTTTTTGTTTTTTTGTTTTTTTTTCCCCCTCCTCCTGTATCTGATTTCAAACCCACTGATGCTGGAATTTAAAAAAATAATTACTTGTGAGAAAAATTGTTTTTGTGAAATAAAGGTTGCTATTTGTGTGAAACTGCTTTTTTTTTTTTTTTTTTTTTTTTAAGTTTCCGTTGGAACCAAACATTTATATTTTTCACTTAGGTTAGACTAGTAAAAGGGCACAGATATGAAGAATCGGTACTGTAATCCATTGGCCAGTAGGACATGCTGGCTAAGCTATTACCATAGAGCTGATTTTGAAGTGAAACCTAAATTAAGCTTTTTACACTCCCCACTATTCACACAACTC